GAAGGTGTCACTATTTCTGTGACTCACGCACCGTAACTGCTAAGCAAGCACGCAACTTAACAAAACAAATACTAGGAAATAAGAGGTATTTCAGTGCAACAGTCACAGTACATACCTATAGCTGCGTGGAAGTGAGACAAAGCATCTGCCAGCTGTCCAGCAGCCAATAGCTTCTTTCCCATTTCGAGCTGTTTTTCTACTTCTGCATTTATTCCACATTCAGCTCCTTAAAGAAAAAGATGAATATTTTGATTGATGAGCTTAATTACACCAAAAATCCATATGATAAAAATAGGTGTTGGTTAAAAGTCACAGTCTTGTATTACAACAACCTGCAGCCTAATAAACTGTCAATATGTTTTCCTTTTCCCAAAGGAGATATAAAGTGGATAAACACTGTAGCACATCTTACTATAAGCAGCAACTTTGATATATATAATTAGAATTTTCACTCTCTTCTTATGTGAGGGAAGCTACATGAAAATGGCATGCTTCAGAAGTGCTAGTATTTTGAAACTAATAAATTGCTGTTGCTCAATAACTAAGGCAAGAAAGACTGTTGATAAAAAAAAAGAAAAAAAAAAAGTTGAAATTACTGAAATAATGAATTCTGCCATGGAGGAAATACAAAAATTCAACACTGTGCTAATTAAAAGCTTATCAAACTTTCTCACAAAGTAGATTAAACAAAAATATTTGTAGTGAAAAAAGTAATTTCTGACCAGCAAGTCATCAAGATTTTAGAACTAGCAACTTTCAGCGATTGAGATTTCATTATGTTCCCTTCCCACTATCAAAACAGTTCACAATTTTTTCAGTTCCACGTTATTTATATATATATATATATAAATCACTGACCAGCCTATATTAAAATGAAGAAAACACTGTATCCACTGAAAAGAGCTATATGTGTTAAATACTGTTAATAATTCAACAAACTCTAGATTCAAGAGCTTCAATTCAATTGCTTGCTTTACAACTAGGACAGCAGACAAATCCCATCCACTCCCTTCTCACGTTAATGCAGCTGACTTCACAAATATGTAAACTAAGTCATAAAGTTTTTGTTTAAATACGCAAACCTAAGACAGTAGTATTATTCATACCCTCTTCTTAAGGATCTTACTAAGCTATAGGTTTCAAAATCCATTCCAAGGGCAAATGGGTGAATAAAATAAAAACAGCTCCCCTGACAGTAGTACAGAAAAATTCTTGGCTGTACTTAAATACAGTACTCCATTTTCAAGGTAGCTTTTATGTGAATGTCTTCTTTTCAGAAATACAGACTTTCTGATTTGCCACCTGATTTTTTGCTTCTCATCTGGCTTAGTTCTGATCATGCGGTAGTCCAAGGCCTGTCTTTTAAAAGAAATATTGAAAAAAAAGACTGAAAATAATTTTTAAAAATGGGGGGAGGGAAACAACAGACAAAAAATTGGATTTGGATTCGCATATTTATCTTTGAAATCTTTAAAACTTAGTATATTTGGAATGCCACATTTAGTCCTCCCACCCTGACACTGGGCTGCAAATTATGCATTGACTAAGGAGAAGAGACCAAGCTAATGAAAAGGCATCTTCCATCCACCTAAACTCGACACTCCAGTCTCACTGAGGATCAGTCTCCTAAGGAGCTTCCTTGTGTCACCTCTAGTTGCTGGAGGACAGCTTGAAGAGCAGAGTTTGCAGAGACAGATGCACCAGCACCATTTGGTGCCTTTCACACACATTATATTCAATACAGATTTACAGTTACATAACCCATTAGGCAAGTGAGACTTTTTTTTTTCCCTCCTTGAAAATACTGTAGATAATGGTGGCAAATGAGAGATGAGAAACATGAGCATTAGCAGCAACCCAGCAAGCAGAGTACAGGATAACCAGGTAAACAGGGTAGGGTAAGAGTGACAACATGGCCAGGGCAAGGAGGTAATGCATGAAGGTCAGTGGGGCCCCTGATCCCTGCAGAACAAGTTCCCCCACCCCAGATAAAACAACTGCCAAAACAGGGCTATTCCAGCAGATATACAGCGATTAAGGTGCCAGATATCAAAGACCCAGCAGCACAGTTGAAATCACGTTTGCTCCAGTAAGACAGGAAACTTAGCTTATGCAAAAGATACATAAGCACATCATCTATTATTTTTAGAATTTCCAAGTATCTTAATTTGAATAGTATTATTTCTAATAGTTGAGTTTTTATTATTTTCAAAAGTTGCTCTATTCACCCCAGCCTCAGAATACTACATACGAGAGCCTGTTTACCCTATCTAACCCTATCTATCAACTCAAGGCAGATTTTCTGAAGAAATTCAAGCTCCAAAGCCCGATGCAGGAATGGAACACACAAAAAACTCCGAGATAAGAAATGGCACCAGTCCTGACACCCAACGAGGAGATAGTGAGAAGGCACAGCAGTGACACACACATGTAGCTAACCTGTGTTTCCAGTTAAAACTGACCCACTGCAAATAAAAACTTACCAGGAAGTTATAATCTATTAGAATAACTGGTGCTAATACATTAGTACATAAGTATATGAACTCCAGCTGTATTCTTACACAGTAGCCAAACTCATGACATTTAAAACCTCAAGAAAACTCTGCCATTTCACCAGTTTCAAGTTTCACGTTTGTCTCACATTCCTCATTTCCTGTAAAATTCTCCCCTATAATTTTTTTTTTTTTTTTAAGAAATCTCTTTTAGAATTCTTGTCCCTGAGCTGGGCAAGAAGCCTTTGAAAATGAACAAAATGAATTTTAACTGTGTACTAGAAAGGCTTGACACAAAATCACAGAGAAGCAAGCACGTCACTCACCTGAAACTGCAGCCTTTTAAATTTCTTTCCTAGAGTCTCCCCTCGCCCCCCCGCCCCTTTTTTTTTTTTAATCTTAATGGAGTCAGGGGTAAAGTGAGCAAGGGGCCCTGCTGGGCGATGCTTTTCACTTAGCACTGGAGTATTTACCTTGTACTTACCTTCCACTCTAAGGCTGCAGCTATCTTTGACCAGGTACGGGCTCTGCGTGCGCACGGGCCTGCACGCTCATTTTAAGCCCGACACCAAAGCAAACAAGAGTTGAGCAATCACCAAGCTTCAGGCGCAGCGTGAAAGGGCTCATGCGAGGCCTGAAAGCAGAGCAGCTTCCCTCACTCCACCCCAATTAAGCTGCATGTAATTTCAGTCCACATATTATATTTCCCTTTACTACTAGGAAGGCAAGGAGGAAGCGAACCCACACTCCTCCCCTCTCATGTCTTCTTGCTGCTGTAAGGCTGGACAACCATTCACAAAGCAGAACCTCCCAAGGAGGTGATGGGCGGGAGAGCTTGTTCA